TATATATATATTATCATTATTATTTCTTTTATATTCTGACGGCGGCCGCTGTAAAAAAAACCCCCAAAAAACAGAAAGGGCACCTCCCTGAAATGAGACGGGAACCTCCCTGAAATAAGGTTTTGCAGGTTGGGATGTCTGCATACAGTTTGTAAATCAAAATTATTTTGATTGCTGAATTGCATAATTCTGTACACATCAGACAGATCAGAATAAAAAATTCTCAGACAAAAAAAATACATTTCCAATTGGTTTATTCCCCTGATTCCATCAGATAGGATTTTCGACAGGAGATCCTACATATTTCCTCAGCATGGGTTTCCTTTAAAAAAACTAAAAAATAAACATCTTAGGACCACTAGGTGGCGCAGCTGGTACATATTTACAAGGTATGAATTATACCTCCTGATAGCCCTGATAGCCTAGCAATTTCAGAGGGGAAAGTGAAGGCATCTGAGATCATTATATGTATGTACTTTAATAATGGGGGAAGGGGGGGAGAGGGGGGAGTAAATTCTAAGACCCTTATTCATGTTGGAGTTTCCACCTTTACAAACAAGTCAGAAATGGCAGTTTCCATATTTGTATCATTGCAGGTTGCTTTGAAAGTGTGTGATTTATTTATAAATCCCTTTTGTGAGCTATATTTATATATTTGTTTACCCAGATTGAATTATGTTTATATATCATATTGTATGTCTTTTGTTGTTGTATAAAGTAATTGCTATGAACAAGGGAAATAAAAATACATTAAAATTGGAACAACAATCAGGTGATAATCTAGCATCAGCTCTGCACACCGTTACACAGTGAATGATGGGTGGTGTGGTTATGCCCCCATGGGGCAGATCCATGATGTTCTGCACACACAGGCCTAGTTTGTGTCTTACATTTTTGTGTTATTAATATCCCATCTTGTTTCTTTCATGTTAGTTTTTGGAAAAGCACTTCACTCACTTTCACGAATTGGTGATGAGCTGTGGTTTGACCCGCTGGAGAAAGGTGTAAGTTTTTCGACAGCTTTTCTTTATGAAATTTATTTAGATACACACTATGTTGCCAAAAGTATTGGGACGCCTGCCTTTACACGCACATGAACTTTAATGGTATCCCAGTCTTAGTCCGTAGGGTTCAGTATTGAGTTGGCCCACCCTTCGCGCTAGAACAGCTTCAACTCTTCAGGGAAGGCGTCCACAAGGTTTAGGAGTGTGTCTATGGGAATGTTTGACCATTCTTCCAGAAGCGCATTTGTGAGGTCAGGTACGTTTTCCATCGTCGATTAGTCGGCTATCAAATTGCCTGTTCCCCGCTCCACACACAAGCACGCCACGCCCATCGCACGTGCCGCGGTCCATCCCTTGGCTCTCCTCCAATCCCGGCGCTCTTTACATCTAGCGGGGCCGGTGCGTTCACATGATGGGTGTCGGGGATGTGAGCGCGAAAGGGTGTCAGCCGGGGGACGGAGACGATGGCTGGGGACGAGCTGGCATCCAGGCTGAACCGGCGGCTGCGGGACCCGGAGGATGGGGAGAGGGAGCAGCCCAGCACGTGGGTCTTCAATCCCTACACCAAGTTCAAGGAGTTCAGCAGAAAGCAGACATGGAGGGAATGTTGAGACAAGTAAGTGCCCCGAGCACGCCGGAGCCTGGAATCCAGGAAACCGACACCGTGCACCCCAATCCACCATCAAACCCGTCCTCTGCACCCCATTCCACCATCATACCCGTCCTCTGCACCCTATTCCACCATCATACTCATCCTCTCCATCCCTGCACCCCATTCCACCATCATACCTGTCCTCTGCACCACATTCCACCATCATACCTGTCCTCTGCACCCCATCCCAACATCATACCCAACCTCTGCACCCTATCCCAACATCATACCCATCCTCTGCACCCCATTCCGCTATCATACCCGTCCTCTGCACACTATTCCACCATCATACACATCCTCTCCATCCCTGCACCCCATTCCACCATCATACCCATCCTCTGCACCCCATTACCCCATTCCACCATCATACCCGTCCTCTCCATCC